TCTGACCGCTCTCGGAGACTCTCATATCCATCCGATGCTGGGAAACAGAGGTAAAGACGAAGAGAGAAGTGAGAGAACGTCTTGAGAACGATCGCCATCAGGTCAACGCGCTCTCGGCGCAACCAGCAGGTATTATCTTAAAGGAACTGTATATCTATATATATATGTATATATAGATATATACATCCGCACAATGGCGCGTGTATTTTGTAAGCGCGTGCAAACTAACAAGGATAATATCTATATTACAGCGGCTATTTTCCATACAGAGCTATATTTTGCATAACGCGAATAATTTTTCTAAAATTTGCAGATCTATATTTTGCATACAGAATATTTTTAAATATCATAATAATATATCCACACAATGAATATTTTTAAATAATTACGCTCTATTTACCAATTTAACAATTTACTCCAAAATTACGAATTTTTTTTTATTATTGGGTTTCCACTAGAAATTCGGACAAAGCCTGAAAACGCGCGGCGGATTAATGTACAACTGCATCGAGAAAGAATTCAACGACGAGCGGATCTCGTATGGATCGTATAGCATCGCGCAACAATAACACCGCGATATTGAATTCATGAGAGTACATCGTTTTAAAACTGTCGAGAGCGCGCTACGCAACAAAGAGATACGAACGATCCGCTATTCGCCAAATTAGAAACTGGAACAGCACCTTGATTGCACGCATACAGGATGTTCCAGAAGCACCGGATGTTCCCCCAACCGAGGATTCTACAACAAATTTCCTGCCTATTCATTTCTGCGGAATTTTTTTATGAAAACTTTTGCCATTTACTTAAAACAAATATTTGTTTAAAATCATCGACATTGAATAGTTGAAAAAAAATTAACCGTAGATTAAATTTCGGTCAAGAAATATTATTGAAAATAATACTCGAAAGTAAGTATGCATGACTGAGAACGAAAAATATTTTCCTCTCTCTAACAACGAAACACGAGTTCGGTCTAAACGTCGTCTGGGAAGATCAACAATGACGCAAGCATAGCACAAATTTGAACCGGCCTGGAACATCTCGAGATAATATTCACACGAAAGTCTATAGCACATAAAAACGCAAGCAGTGAAGGAACGTAAACAGAAAGAATCTACCAACCACTATATATCCAATATTCTTCTTAGGAAAGAATTTTGTTTTAATTTACTATATAATTCCATTCTTTTCCTGCCATAACTTTAATTACGACGAAGATATCATCTGACTTCATTTAAACTCTATTGAATTTATAATCTTAACTTGCTCCTCCATTTTTACTTGTACGAATTCATGAAGCGGAATGATTTCATATCGTGTGCATAATTATAAATTCACGATAACATTGAATGCGATCTAGGCTGAGAATTGAAACGCGATTGCAACTGAACCCAACTGAATAATGTAATTTTAAGAGCTGCATGTTAAGGGGCTTGTAAATTAAAATATTTAATTAGCGGGAGCAAAAAAAAATGTGGAACGTTACATTCAGATCGTCGAGAGCAACAATAGACAATTACAATGAACAAATTTCGAGTAACGCAAACGGTTTGTACCACCTGTATTCACACAAAGATCGCTCGCCAAGCGTTGCACATAATCGGCTCGAGTTCCACCACTTCACATGAAGAGAAAGAGAGAGAGAACAAGAGAGAATAAATTTCAACACACACATAAGCTTAATCAGCTTATATTCTCTTGTAAAATTAATAAAATGCGTATTAAAAATGATAAATAAAACATAATATTTAAATGTATAATATATAGGCAAATAAAGTTTTAATAAAATAACCGGTTTAGTAAAAATAGATTAAAAAAGTCTTAATTAATTTCGCGATACGTTCAAGGTTCCTCGAAATATCCTTCGCGAGAGAGTTCCAATCAGACCTCAAACAAAGCCGCACATGCGCTAGCGTCTGGAGCACAGACGAACGAACGGAACGGTCGTCGTGAGTTTTTCTAGAGTGTGCTGTGTCCGAACGGTACCTTCTTGGTTCTAGTAAAGCGAGTTTTAAAGGCAATCTGCCAGATCTGCCCGTCTGCGCGCCAGGAGCGTGTCTCGACCGGATCTTCACTCTTTCCCATCGATTTTCGGCGACTCGCACCTTGACGAGAATGTGTTTTCGCCAATGTAAATGTTACGGAACTTTATTTACCAGAATAGCCTAGTGGAATGGCTAAAAAGTTCATGCTTATATAATAGTTTATAAACTTCCTAATGAAATTTTTATCTATTTATTATCACGAGAAGACACATTATCATTGTATAGAAATTAATTTCAAAAAATAAAAATAATGAAAGAAGCAAATATCGAATTAAAAGACGTAGTAATATAGATGCTTCGAAGCATATACAATCTTATTTTGCGAAAATTCTGCAATACTTATCGCACGATAAGACAGATAATAATATTTGGTCTGCACACATCTCTGATTGGATAAAATTATCTGATATCAGTCAGACTATGTACACGGGAGTAACTTCTTGAAAAAAATTCTACTTCAATGAATCTAATAAATTTTTACTATAAATATAAACAAATTAGTTTAATGCGTAGTGTTTAATAACGCGATAAAATGTACTGTCGTAAAATATTTTTTATTATGTTATCGCGTTCGTATTATTTCACAACAACCCATGATAAGCTTTCAGTAAATTATAAAAAGTATGAGAGTATTTCTTTCTGTAATGGTCAACATAAAATTGTTAATGTATCTTTGTACACAGTTAATGTGTTATCAGCTCGAAACGTCATAAACGTCCTGTACAGTCATCGTGCCAGTCTTATATCGATACAAGAATACGACGACAAATAAACTGAGTTCGGTAAATTGAATTCGCAATTGTATTCGCTCTTAATCTCTCTCGTTGAAATAAATCTAATGAATTTTCTCACACACTAATGGTTACGGCTATTGAACACTTTGCGGCGAACTCAATTGTCTTTACGGTCGTTACTCCGACAGGGACGTGCGACAGAAATAGTCGTAAAAGTCAGACCACGTAATTGCGGTTGAATCTTTGGAATTCTCTCTTCTCCCATCGGTCACGATCGCGCATTTTGTTTCTTACACGGTACTTTTATAAAAGATCACGAAAATAAAAAACGCTCTCTCGCTCCTTCGATCGTCACATCTGACAATCATGGTATAAAATCCTTTAATTTGATAAATAATTTTTTGGCGATCTTTTAATAACAAGAAATCTTGTAAACTATCTAGGTTTGCATTTAAAATTCGCATTCTAAAACTTTTTCTGTCTCTGAAATATCTTGGATCTTGCACAAGCTATCTTTTTATTTAATTATGCAGCTCGAGCATATAGATTCATCGATATGGCAAATACTAAAGGGCATAACAGCACGCAAATACGCACCTGTCTGAAGGGCCAGTTTACGTCGGTGTCGTTGAAGGGAACGTCCACGCCACCCTGAAGAAGGACGAAAGCGCCCGCGGCAGAAACTTCATTCTTTGCACGGAGACGTGAGATGAGTCGCTGGCGATTATCGCGAAAAAGCGACATGGGCACTTTTAACGTCTCCTGGTGTCGCGAGAAGTGACGTCCTCTGGTGCATCTGAAATTACATTTTCCCTATATATCAACAACAATGCATTATTACAGAAAGCAAAAAAAAGAGTGCATAAATAAGCAATTACGTTGTTGCTTCTAATAATGTTATTACGATTTCGTGATTGAAACTTTTACATCGCCATTAACGTTTACGTTATTATTAGAAATCATCGTTAAATGTTAATGCGAGGATGTTAAATGGCATCTGACGTTACGATACGCCGCTCGCAAATAATTATTTTGCTTCCGATAATATCGCTAAAACTTTCTAAAAAGAAAGTAGATCCGTCACGTTTATCGCTTCGTCGTTCGCTTACTCATCGATACCTCCGCTTTTGCAACGCCTTTAACACGTATATTTAGGTGAATCATATAAGAGTTGCATCACCAAAGCGATGAAGCGTCATTGTGTACACAAAAATTCTCATAGAAAAATAAAAATAATAATTATACACAAATATCAACTATTTTACATACAATTGAATTATTCTTGATTTCGTACGCCGCTGCTTCAAACTTTCCTTCGGTAGATTAGTTCTAGATTTGATTTGAATAAGTCATAAACAAAGATTACAAGACGCGCGAAAATAAGGTGAAAAGGCACGTAGAAAAAAAAAGCCGGTGAATATACTATTTTTAGCTTTACTAATTAGCGTGCTCATACGGCTTAAAGTCATTAGACGATGTATAAACTATAATTTCAATTTAAAAAATCTGCAATTCCTGTCACGTTATCCGAACTTTTTAAAACAATTTATTACTGTTTGCTTTTCTAATTTTTTTTTAATTTGAATAATATGCGATCATATCGAAGAAAGAGAAAGGATATTTCAAAAGAATTTATTATCGTAATTTATTATCGATTAAGAGAATACTATTTTAAGAATGAAAAAAAAGAGATCATATATTATGCATGCACGTAATAATAAGATCGAACCGGATCGAACGTATATCTTGTTCACCATTTGACAGCTAAATAATTACACACAGTGTGAGCATAAATAGACGCGTCTATATTCTCCCGAAAGAGAGAGATGTCGGTTTCGTGCGGTCTCGCCCGTATATATTTGGTTTATATTTAAGCCGTGTCATTGGACGAGTCTCTTAACTGACACAATTCTTGTTCTGTCATATCCTCGGGACGAAACACGCGTGACGGCACACACGGAAAACTTGGACGCGTTAACGAGGGACACGCACGTAATATGCGTATATAAGCTCGTCGTGTCTGAAATTCCGCACCCTCGTCCCGTTGCCGTGTTTTAAGCCTTCCTAAACTCTACGCGTGTACTTATTTAGTCGCTCGGAATCGCACGAGCATGTCACTTTTATAACGTCTATTCAAAAATTATATTTAACTTGGCAGTTTGTACTAGAGAAAGAGAGAGGGAAGTATAAAATTCATGTGGCACAACAATGCGGAATATGGAGTAATTGTACGCGATGTTTACAATTTAATATATGCTGGACTTTCTATAGTTGGATCATGAAATTACATGTATATTTTTTTAGAAAAAAATTATATTTATACAAGACACATTTATGTATATACGTATTTATATATGCGTATATATAAATTGTTTATTTTTAATCTCCGTTACGTATTTAAGTTAGGTCGAATATCTAGAGCGAGATGGAAAGAGAGCCGCTACTTGACATCGAATAAAACGGTACGTTCTCTCGCCATGAAAGAAGTGAAAGCATCGCGCGGGTCAGAGATGCACCGAGTATATCTTCTCTTAAATTTTTCGCATAAACACTTCCGCGCCAACTTTCGAGTTTTTGTACGAAATATATGTATATACCGCCGTAATAAACGTTCAACACGAAAGTTATGCGCAAAAATATTCTGAAAAATACACGGCGAATTTTATATAGATACAATATGAATCATAAATCACTCGTCATACATTGTTTATTAATTTCGTTTTTTTTTCCGTCTGGCGAAAATGTAAATAAAATTCGATATTGAGCAGACACGTTTGACACGAGCTTTTTGATACAAAAGCAAACGGAGCACAATAACATCTTCACACGCTAATAAAGCGTGTGAAAGAATTACACAGCTAAGTAATAGACGAATTAAATATATATATATGTCGCGAATATTGTTTGCTCCAGAAAATGATATCTTATTACGTTGCAAAATGTCACGTTACCAACTAAAAGGAAAAAAATTAATGCGATTATCTAATCTCATGGACAAGTCATTTTCTCTTGACGACATTACATTGCAATAATTTTATAGCTTTTAGTTTCATTAAAATCGTCCTTATCGCGATATGCAACCAGACAAATAATGACACTGTTTATCGACGAGAAAAAAAAGAAGGCGTCTCGGTATACGCATCAGCATTACGTAAAACGTTGACATTGAAACACACGGACGATCAATTTAGAGTGGCTCGAAATTTAGAGGCCTACAAACAGCGTCGATAACGATTCGCTGTTTTATTTACCGTAAGTGATACGACGTACATGATATAGCAGCTGCTAAAAGACTGATAATACCATGAACCTATCGTTCTACTCCAGTTATGTCATCGAGAATCAGATTGAAGCACGAGAACAATCCAGCTTTTCACGTCAAATATTTTAAAAATAGTAGTAATTGTGAACGACTTATATGAAAGAAATGTTATTCGACTGATAAAAAAGAAATTACATAAAAAAGTGTAATAATAAAATTGCTAGCAAATTTTAAAATTATTCCATACGGTAGATGAGAAATTTTTACTTCATTTATAAGCAAATCTTGTGTTAAATTTTTTTGTGGTCAATATAAATAATTCGCAAAAAAGTTAAATGCTAATGCCTTCGGAAATTGTTATGTAAACCAAAATAGAATTATCTGTATTTTTAAGAGCTATTATTGTTTCACGCGAACCGACCGAGTATACGTTTAGCATAATTAAGGATAATGTAAACATAAACAACGCGTCATTAAATTCCACACGCAAGTCTGGTAACCTAGAAACCTTATTAAGTTCTCTATAAGAAAATCTGTTTTTCGCAAGCGCGTGAAATAAAAACACGTTCATCAGTAAATGCAACTAGTTATACATACATAAATTTATATGTCGAATTATCATTTTTCATTCGAGAATGATATAATTCGAAGATTAAAAATTGTTCTCTCTTTCTCTATCATTACTACTTCTTTTATATAATTACTATAATATCACTATCTAAGGATAAATTAATCAACATGAAAAGAAACCTTCAATTAATTCGACCTACTACATGCGATGTTACGGTTGAAGTCATGAGACCTCCTATTACAATCTCTTCCGAGCGAACCTATTATTATCTCGTACAAGTGCTGTTATCAAACAGTCCAAGGGTCAATGCGATTCTAACGGAGCGAGTTTCGCAGCGCGCCATAACCTCAAAATCCGATCGGGTCAGGGGAAAGCGAGCTCGATTGAACGAGAAAAGGTGATTCTAGCCACAGGCAAACTCGAGCAATTTCACAATTTAATCGCACGAGCACCGTCAACGCTCTATTTTGCATTTTGTTCACTGCAAAAATTATCGCAAATTTATATCATCGACCAACTTCTCATGACGCGTCTTCTTTGCGAATATAGAAATTAATAATTGTAATTAATGATTCATACAATTTTGACGAGATCAATTTTTCATATCATAAATATAAAAAAAACAGATCACTTCGATCTGTCGTAAACATATGATTATTTTTTTTGCGCACTTTGACGTGCAAAAACAAACTGCATCGAAAGTGCACAGTTCTCATATCTCGAATATAAAAAGACGCGCACAAATTACGAAGAGCAACGACACGATGAAAACATTGCGCAATTGAATATATATATATATATATTATAATATATATAAAATCATATAATAAAATATATAAATCATAACATACGAGGCCGCGTGATTGGACTCCGCCATGTTGTTTGTAGGTGATGCTGCGATGGTTTCTCCGTTGCGTTATTCCGTCTCGTTGCAGGTGTGACCGTCACTTATGACCGGAAGTAATGGGCAAGAATAACGACGTGATCACTGCGCGAGGCTACCGGAAATCGTGTTTCTTTATACGTACGCGAATCACGCTCATATCAAGTCCGTTATCAAGAGCGACAACGACGCGTGATAATCTGACAGTTCGGCCCGCGGTCACATGACCAAATCAGCTGACCGCCGACGACAACCGATGACGGCCGAGCTAGCCGAGTGCGAGCACGTGACCATCTGACAGTTCACAATCAGTCAGCCGGCGCGCGGTGGCCGACAGCAGTCGATGATGGCCGACAACAGCCGAGCCTTTAAACGATGACGCGATCTGACGCAACGTTTGCTTACAATGCCGCCGTACATTCTTATGTTTACTAATTTTGAGATGTGTTTTCGTAAAGTACATTTCTCATCAACACTTAATGTATTAAATATACTGATATCCATAAAAATAATAAATATTAATTAAAAGAATTCAAATTTCGAGAACTTAAAAAAAAAAAAAAAAATTTGAAATATCCACATATTCTGGTTTGATTAGCCAATTCTCATGTACAACACGCAGACGCCGGAAGACTAACCGTGACCAATATGTTAACAGGAATCGAGATCATTATAATATAATGCGTACACGTCGTTTTCTTTCAACGTGCAACTAGGTCGCATCGCATTCGCTATCTCGCGCCGAAATCTGTGTCAACACACAGACAAGGTCGATATCTGTTATTAGACGTTCGAATTGTTGACTTACGACCATGTCGCTTACTGTCGTCGAGAATAAAATTTATATCAAACTTGTCGCTTTATAATTACGAATAAATAGCAAAAAAAATTCGAACACTGACAAAGGATTTTTGTCCGAGTGCATCTCTCGCTTCGTATCAATGGAAAAATATTATGTATTTTTAATGTAATACTGTCGCTGCGATAAGTGCAGATCAATTCTCGCATTATCTCGTGCATTTCGGGGATGACGCAACATATATTAATCCGATGTTTCTTGGTTGAAAAACTCGATGATTCATTATATGAATCTGATTCATAACATAAACTATGTAACGTTTTTTAGTAACATTTTTAGTAATTTATAATACCTATAATAATAAATCTCTCGCTTAATCGAGATAATTTGATAATTTTGTCTATTTCTGAAGATTGTGATTTTTTTTCTTTGTAATAATCGCTAAAAAAAAAAATCGGAAACACAATGAGCCTCTCGCGTACAATTTAGCGCAAGGTTTTCTTTCAAACTATAGTCGATGTAGAATCCTATTTCTCAGTTTACAGACGACAGACTGAAAGAAACTTGCCTGAAGGTCGCGCGAATGTTACACGTATTATATAAGATGCTATTTGTTAATGCAAAATGTAAAAAGTATGTCTCGTTACCGCGTCGATGAAATCAATTATACAAATTGTTTAGGGCTGAAAACATTTACCATCGCTTCAGACTAGGAACAAAGAAATGAAAAAAGATTATTATCTATTGAATTTTACATCGTATCGCTTACTGTTATTTTTATCAGCTAACTGGAAAGCCTTGATATAACAAGAACGCAATTCTTTCAGGCAATTTAACTCTTTATCAGAACAGCTATTTTTTCATACAGATCTTAAATATGTATTGGTAACGTGACAGGATTCACGTATATTAGATACGTTGTAAGTCATCGGGTATTTTCGAATCAAAAAAAATTATATCGAATGAATATCTGCTTGCAAATAAAATCTTGCAAAGCTGATTTGATAAGGCGAGAGATATCGTTGCTAAAAATATTATTACGCACAATAACAATAAATTTTATATATAGAAGTATACGAAAATATGATAAGAGTTCAAGAGAAAATGTCGTATATACTCCGTTTCACAGAAATCTTCTACATTATTATTAATAACTTGAATGTTTCTTGCGCGCGAATATCTCTATTAATGTAAAATTAACATCTATGTCAACACGAATCGCGACGACAGATGGTAGACAAACGTATAAATGGACGTACTTGAATTAGGTCAAATTGCGCCAAGTTTTCCATCGTTTTTTTTCGCGTCGCGAGTTTAACACAAGTGTATCCATTGATTATCTCGGTTACGCGATAAAGCGAGCAGCACGACTCGATAAATAGGATTATCCGGGAAATCTAATTGCATAAAAGGAAAAGTGAAATATACTCGTGTCCACATATATAAGAGTTTTTCTCATATCAACGTTGCACGCGTTGACGTAAATTTTCTTCCTGACAAAAACGGATCACTTTGTTAGCTAAGATTTCGTAATTTTGTATATGCATCGAAAAAGCGAGAAATAGCCGAAAGTTACTCACTCGCTCGATTTATTCTTCGATTTCGTGCATTTTTTATTAACCAGGAATGTCGCCAGTCATTCGATAAAAAGACTTTAACACGACCAATAGTGACGTTACTCGCGAAAACAACCAACTCCTAACAATCTTTGCTTTCGAATGCTGTCTCACGATGACATTTGACTTTTCTA